TTGTCCAGGGATGGTCATAGGTGGGACTTAATCCTCACTATAAGAATCATCTAGTATGTCATTTTATACATGATTAAATGTAGATAGTGTTAGCAAAAATGGTTACCGGAATGAAGGCGAAAGTGGTGAAGAGTAGAGAAGGTGATGAAGGGTGGGGAAGATAGTGAAGGGCAGGGAAGATGGTGAAGGGTAGGGAAAATGGTGAAGGGCAGGGAAGATGGTGAAGGGCAGGGAAAATGGTGAAGGGCAGGGGAAGGTGATAAAGGACAGGGGTATAAGTGGAAGTAAACAATGAGGAGTTGCTGCGTGTTGTAAAAGTGAGATCACAGGAATAACTAAACGTCACCTCGACTTTCCAAAAAATGTCTGCAAGTTAGGTATTAAGTTGTGGGAAAAACTGTATGCTCACCATTTTCTTTAGGCGAGTCACCGATAATTATAAATTTATTTAATTATACACATACGGACACACACATTGTACAGTATATATGTAAGTATTTACTTTTGTATATACAGTATATTTGTTGCTAGAAATAGGATAGCTTGAGGAAATGCTTACACAACTATTATCTTCTGTAACCTGTGAAGAAAGATAAACTTAACATAATTTAACACTGAAAGATCTAAGGTAATATTTAACAAAATAAACATTATAAACATATGTTTTAATTAACAGTTAACAAAATGGAGATCAGGATATTTCAACATTATAATTTCCGTTTTCTATTCCGGGGACAATGCTGTATTCTCTCCCCCCCCCCGTAGGCCAATTATGGAACATTGCCAGTAAACAACCCTTAACTCCCGGGGTACCTATTTTCTACTGAGTGAACAGTGGTGTCAGCTGAAAGAAAAAGTGCTCAAACTCCTCCTTTCGGCTGTGAATCGACTGCAATATATTTCCTTACGCTGGACGCTTACTTAAGACAGCATTCAACCCATCACTGTATCACAATACGTGTTGCCTACAGGAAGTGGCCGTTACATCACAGCACTTGTCTGCAGCTGCCAGCATTATTACACACAGTTCTATTGGTATTCGAGATACCAATAGAGATAATCATTCATTTTTGTCGGGGGCAGGCAGCCTGTGAATGTATCGTAGGCATATATTTGCCCGAAATGCTGTGCGTATAGTTACAGCCCCGCTCCTGTACCAGACAAGTCCACTTCGGGCTCACCATAGCCCGTGCTACTTGGAACTTTTTGTTCCCAGTAGCTGAATCTATAACAACAACAGGAGCTTTGCGTATTAGAGGCTTTAGGCATAGTATGTACCAGCTCTATCTAGACATCCAACATTATGTTTGTAACTCATCTTGAATGTACTTTTACCTGAATAAACATTATTATTATTATTATCATCGCGTTCCCCCATCCCTCACCCCTAGTTGAGCTACTGACCCTCCTCAAGATGTAACCCCACAACAAGCTGACAACTCTTGGATACCTATTATTAGGTGATAGGAAACGTGCCTAACCATTTATGTCCCGCCTGGGATTCGAAGCTTTGTGAGTCGAGAACGAAGCCAACAACACTAGAGAGACTCTGTGACTGATACGGTACTTTCTTTATGTTTCAGGAGGAACCCCATTATTTGATATAACAATAAGACCTCAAGAGGATGAACCAAAATTAAGATTTGAATAAGAATGTGCTTCAAGCACTTAAGACCTTGAAGAAGATTGTAGTCAAGAATCAGCGCCTGGCTGGCTTGCCACACGACAGGCATACTAAGGTGGGTCTATCTTGAGATGGTTTCGGGGATTAGCGTCCCCGCGGCCCGGTCCTCGACCAGGCCTCCTTTTTGTTATACACCTTTTGATACGCATGTAAATCTTTTAGGGGGGCCTGACAGCTGAGTGGACAGCGTTCTGGTCTCATAATCGTAGGGTCCGGGTTCGATCCCGGCTGATGGCGGAAACAAAATGGGCAGAGTTTCTTTCACGCTGATGCCCCTGTTACCAAGCAGTAAATAGGTACCTGGGAGTTAGACAGTTTCCTGGGTGTGTGTGTTGGGGGGGGGGGAATTGTAGTAACAGTTGATTGATTGACAGTTGAGAGGCGGGCTGAAAGAGCAGACCTCAACCCCCGCAAGCACAACTAGGTGAATACATTCCCAGGAAGCAGCCCGTAGCAGCAGTCTAACCTCCAGGTGCCTGTTTACTGCTAGGTGAACATCAGGGTGAAACAAACCCGGAACCTTAGGACTACGAACCCCGAGCGCTGTACACTCAGCCGTCAGGCCCCTGGGTGGGTCAGTCCTACAGGTAAACTCTTCTGGGAGGCCAAGAAAATCAAATTAAAGAGCGAATGTTGTTAGTGAAGCAATTACACACACAGATGCTAGAAGTAAACCGGGAGAGTATCAGCTGAGTTAAGCATTCTAAACTGTGATGTCCGTGATATCATTCACAAACAATTGAGGTTCTATGTTAATGGTTTATTGTGCATTTTATACTTGTTCTGAGCAGTAGTTTATTGTGCACCCCATACTCATCCTGTGAGCGGTAGTTTATTGTTCACCCTATACTCATCCTGTGAGCAGTAGTTTATTGTGCACCCCATACTCATCCTGTGAACGGTAGTTTATTGTGCACCCCATACTCACCTTATGAGCGGTAGTTTATTGTGCACCCTATACTCATCCTGTGAGCGGTAGTTTTTTGTGGTGAGTGGTAGCACAAATTAGGGATTACAGAGTGCACACAGATGTTAATGAGGCTTCAGTAGATGTTATTAGACATTTACAATTGATTTGCATGCCTTATTTTTAAGTATAATGTCAGCTAGCAAGAGAACTTGTGTACTACAACGGTCTGGTCTCAATATTACGCATTGTAGGTAAATCTTTAGATAACATAACATAATTTTAAATATTAGATATTATACGGCAATAGACCATCCTGTGCTCTCGAGCATTCCCAACGTCACTAAAATGATATACTAAACTCCTAGCCTAGTTACTCACGAGGTTTGATAAATGAACAAAATGTGTATTGATAACAAATGTTTATCTGATTATATGGCTTAGTTGTCTTTCCTGATTACAACCTTACCTTTACTCCTATTTTATAGGAGTTTATACTCCTATAAACTTTACTCCTGTTTAGTAGTCCCTTCTAAAAGTTTTTGAATTCTTATCATTGTTTAATATTTTAAACACCAACTTGTCCTCTCGCATAACACATCGTATTTTGAAGTGAAAATCCTCAAAGTAAAAAAAAAAATCATAGCGGCTTGATTTTATCATAGACGTACTAAAAATCATAGCGGCTTGATTTTATCATAGACGTACTAAAAATCATAGCGGCTTGCCGAATTGACGTGATGTCCCGTTTTCTATTCCTGGGTCCTCGATTAGGTTAGATTCGAGAAATTTAGTACATCATTTTGGTGACGTTGGGAACGTTTGAGAGGTCAGGCTGCACAATTATACCATAAAAGGTGAAGAAAATCAACCTGAATTGTATGAACACCAAAGGAATTCAGGTATTGTAGAGTGAACAGTGTGTGACGTGGTGTCTCCCCATCTCAGGACTGACAAACACAGTTAGCGGCACCTCAAGTTCAATAAATCACTGAACTATATGTTTAACAGATCTCCAACCCTGTCCATGGAGGACACAAGAAAATGTATATATATATGCTGGTTAGCATCGTAAATGTGTGGCCACGTCTGTGGTCACGTTAGTTCACAGGCAAAGCCGCCAGAGATTGAGAAAATATGTACAGGTTCGTAAGTGTTTGCGTAACTGCTTCGGGAATCTGAACCGAGTCCTTTAGTCCAAAACTCCAAGAAAATTTCGCCTTCAATAAGATGGGCGCCACCTCACCTTACTCAAATTGTGAGTTTTAAATTAAAACTTTCCCAGAGCTTTGGATATATATTTTCTTGGGAAGTGTAGGCCTACATCAGCAAGCCAAAGGATATCTTGTACATAAATATAACATTGTTTATGCTGTGTCACGCATCACGAGACTTGTGTTGGACATGTTTTCCCCAGGCTGAACTTCCAGTTATATTGATATGTAAGTTTAGTTATATATATGTATATATATATATATATATATATATATATATATATATATATATATATATATATATATATATATATATATATATATATATGTCGTACCTAATAGCCAGAACGCACTTCTCAGCCTACTATTCAAGGCCCGATTTGCCTAATAAGCCAAGTTTTCATGAATTAATGTTTTTTCGTCTACCTAACCTACCTAACCTAACCTAACCTAGCTTTTTTTGGCTACCTAACCTAACCTTACCTATAAATATAGGTTAGGTTAGGTTAGGTAGGGTTGGTTAGGTTCGGTCATATATCTACGTTAATTTTAACTCCAATAAAAAAAATTGACCTCATACATAGAGAAAAGGGTTGCTTTATCATTTCATAAGAAAAAAATTATAGTAAATATATTAATTCCGGAAAACTTGGCTTATTAGGCAAATCGGGCCTTGAATAGTAGGCTGAGAAGTGAGTTCTGGCTACTAGGTACGACATATATATATATATATATATATATATATATATGTCGTACCTAGTAGCCAGAACTCACTTTTTGGCCTACTATGCAAGGCTCGATTTGCCTAATAAGCCAAGTTTTCCTGAATTAATATATTTTTTCTAATTTTTTTCTTATGAAATGATAAAGCTACCCATTTCATTATGTATGAGGTCAATTTTTTTTATTGGAGTTAAAATTAACGTAGATATATGACCGAACCTAACCAACCCTACCTAACCTAACCTAACCTATCTTTATAGGTTAGGTTTGGTTAGGTAGCCAAAAAAGTTAGGTTAGGTTAGGTTAGGTAGGTTAGGTAGTCGAAAAACAATTAATTCATGAAAACTTGGCTTATTAGGCAAATCGAGCCTTGCATAGTAGGCTGAGAAGTGCGTTCTGGCTACTAGGTACGACATATATATATATATATATATATATATATATATATATATATATATATATATATATATATATATATATATATATATATATATATATATATATATATATATATATATATATATATTCGGCATAAGAAATGCGGTTGTGTGATTGAATGTCATCTTTTCCAAGAGCACATTATGGTTGGATTATAAAGCAATGGCTTAGAACAAAAATTGATGGGTAACTCCCATCAGTAACCCTCCATCGTGGGGCTCAGTATTTGCAGGTGTGGATGCGACAGATGTGTATCACAGGCAACTTAAACAGACCGAGGAGACAGAGTTACCATCAGTGGAAAGCACAGCACATGATTAGCACCGGGACGAGGAGGATCATGGTGAGATATATGTAGACTCGCGGCTCACACTTGGTTTCCAGGACGTAGGAGTTGTCCCAGCCAGCCTCCTGCGGGACCTCCACTACCGCCTGCTCGTCTGACCAGAACCTCAGCGGCATGGAACATTCTGTTGTGTTCAAGCACAGCTCTTCAGAGTTCTTGACGTCGTACACGACCCGCTCCATCGTCAGGTTGAAGAATAGATCATTGACATAGATCTCATTGTCGCTGGAAAACACGAAGTAGTAAGTGCCCGTGACGGGGATGTCGTAGACAATCTTGTTGATGTCCACAGTCTGGTAGCTGCAGCTCCTGTAGGGTAAGAGCGGCAGAGTGAGGATGACGCCCTCACAGCTCGCCAGAGCCTCCTCGCTGCTGGAATACGAAGATCTGTGCTCTTCCCTCGAATTGTCGTTTACTGTTGACTGGTTAAATCTGCCTCTCTCAAACTTCACCCCCTCAGGGAAGAAGATGTGACCAATCGCCTGCTCTTCTTTTAATCTGTCAATTTTCCTTTTATTGAGATCTGCTTCTGTGTTTGTGTCCAAAAGATCGTTAGAGTCTAGTTCCTCAAAGGCACCGTTGCCAGTATCTTCTTCATCGTCGGCAAATCTCTTGAACCGTGATCGTCTTGTATTTTCGTCTTCAACCAATAGTTCTTCAGTATTATTTTCATCTCGAGACATTCCCTTCTTGTTTAGTTTATCATTTAGACGTTTACGTTTACCTTTCTTCCTTTTGTCTTTTAATTTTCTTCTGGCTTTCCTCAGCTGGCCTGGGAGTGTACCACCTGGGAGTGTACCACCTGGGTGTGTACCACCTGGGAGTGTACCACCTGAGAGTGTACCACCTGGGAGTGTACCACCTGGGAGTGTATCATCTGACGGTACACTCTGCCTGATTTCGGAGATGTTTTTTCTGCTGTTGTTAGCATCAGTCTCCGTCTGTCCGTCGACCAGTGCTACTATTTCGGGCACAACGTGTGTTGAATTATCTGTATTATTTTGTAATGCTAAGTCCTTGTCTGTAATCTGGTTCTCAAACGCAAAATTACGAGTCTTACCCTCAGTGTGAAGAATTCGCAGAATCTCCGTTTTGTCTTTGCTGATTTTGATGGCCTTCCGCAAGAGTTCACTGATGCTCTGACGACGCTCTTCCGAGAAGAGCGGAACACTCGAGTGGGAAGTGTCGTCTGCGATCCCAGATTTTCTATTGTCTGTGAGCGAGTGTTCTTGCGGAGCTGTGAAGCCCGGCATGTTGTGTCGTTGGAGCTCGTGCCGTTCATTGCTGGCCACATCGTCCTCCTCCTCCTCCTCTTCGGCAGAGTCCTCCTCCCCGATCCAAGCGCAGCGGTGGAGGTTCTCTGCCCCGCGCAGCACCATCAGCTGCCCTCCATCCCATCTGTTACACAACAATAAACACACTCAACTACTACAAATAAATGAAGATGATGAGTCACAATAACTGAAAAATGTTGACCAAGCTACACACTAGAAATTGAAGAGACGACGATCTTTCGGTCTGTCAGTTGTCCTGGACGGACCAGTCGACTTGATAATGGTCCAGGACGGACCGAAACGTCGTCGTCTCTTCAATTTCTAGTGCTTAGGTCTACTACAATTAAATACATAATAGATTATCTTAACTTGTCCGATCTCGTAAAAGTATGTATTTCTAAGAATGACTTGTGTCTAACTGATGATTCCTGTACGTTAACCAATTGAAGATAAAAATAATTTAAAACAAATATATTCCAATAGCCAAACATGCATTTAAAGAGCAACATTTTGTTATTAGAGTTTTATATTTAAGTTCAGTAGTATAACAATGAGCTGACACGGGGGAGATATCTCCCGTCACGCAGGGTGCAGTCCCACCTCCACACGTCTCCAGTATCAGCTAATGATACTGGAGATACCAAAGGCCCACCACTTACGGGCTATTCATGCCCGTGCCACCTTTTGGGTGGCTTAATCTTCATCAATCATCAATCAATGAGCTGAGGCTGTGAGGCAATACTGGGAACATGAATTAAAGAGGCTGGAGTAAAGATGAGAGCAAGTGTGGTCTATAGCTCCAACATCTTTACCTAACCCGTCCTGGTGGTGAGCGCCCGGTACTTGACGTACGGGGCGGTGTAAACAATGTGATGAATGTGTAAACAATGAATGTGTAACAATGTGTAAACTCTTACTAAACAAGTGGCCTCGATGCGTCACAATTGTCAAATTTGTGACATTTGCAGAAATAAATGAATTTTGTACCAAGACTATGAACATTTATAGGTCTATTTACTAATGTTTATCTATGTATATGAATCAGTATATGTTGATTTATGTATATGTAGCAGAGAGGTGAGCGCAGTGCTCACAACCCAAGGGTCCAAGGGCAAAGCTCTGCATGGGGCAGATGTGTGAGCACGTTTCCTGACACCTGATGCCTCTCTTCACCTGGCAATAAGGGAGGGGGGTATCCAGGAGTTAGGCAACTGTTGCGAGTTGTACCCCGGGAAAGGTTCATATTTGCCCTAAGAAGCTATATATATATATATATATATATATATATATATATATATATATATATATATATATATATATATATATATATATATATATATATATATATATATATATATATATATATATATATATATATATATATATATATATATATATATATATATATATATATATATATATATATATATGATTGACCAGACCACACACTAGAAGGTGAAGGGACGACAACGTTTCGGTCCGTCCTGGACCATTCTCACAATCGACTTGAGAATGGTCCAGGATGGACCGAAACGTCGTCGTCTCTTCACCTTCTAGTGTGTGGTCTGGTCAACTTACTTTAGCCACGTCATTGTGACTCATCGCCTGTATATCTATGATTATTTCCATGATTGTTTGATTACTGTTTGTGTAATCATCTAGAGAGTCCAGCTCACTTCTGAGCTTCTTCTAGACTGCATGCTTTTCCTGTTCCAGTAATACCCACATTTTATTGGGTAGGCTTTTGCCTCTAACTTGGTATGCGTCTGAGGTCTGGTATGCTAGCTGCTTAGAGAACAGTGTATATCATTCCAAGTGAACCCAAAGCCAAGGCACTGTAGAGTGATTGACTGAGCTGTTGCTGCTGGTTGTTAAAACCGTGTTGATAATTCATAGTCAAATTTCTCTTTCATGTACGTGTATTTTGTTACATATTGTTTCACAAAGGTATGCCCTTTGTGAAACAATTATATGTGCGTTATTATATATATAGGTGCATCTACACGTTGTTACGTAAAGGTAGGCTTACATTTTTTTTTATATAAATAAAGATCTACAAGATGTTACATAAGAGTAAGCGTACATGTTGTTATATAGTGGGTAAGAAAGTCTGCCCATATTTTCGTTAGTTAGTCCCTATGGGCAGCCTTCTCTACCTGGTGGGCAGCAGGACCCACCTGGAGCAGGAGGAGAGGGTGACGGTGGAGCCCTTCAGCAAGAAGAAGCCCCAGTACTCCTTAACGTCGTCCCTGAGGGCGAGAGAGTGGAGCATGACGTGTGTGCGCCGCTGGGGGTCGACGCCGGGGGCGCTCCTCGACAGGTACCCGTTGAAGGTACCGTTCATGTGGGCCTTCTGCGCCTGCGGGAGGAGCACCAAGACATGGTCAGGATCACCGGGACACGGTCAGAATCACCGAGACACGGCCAGGATGACCCAGACACGGCAAGCAGGAAAAAAGAAGACAGGAATCAAGGCGACTCGTAAATAAACCTGGTTCACCGCTTACAATTTACTCCAGCTTATGGAGACAATAAAGTTAGAGCAATTATGTCAAACCACACAAATAAATTACAAATTAATGTGAAAACAAATTATGTTGGCATTTTAGAATTACAAAATAAATATAATAGTACTGTACTGGATTTTAACCAGATTATAAAATATTTTAATTTGAAGCTAAGATTGGGTACAGCGATACAGTAGATTCTAAAATATTTGTAGTATATATTGTAACGATACTTATGTTGTGATATATAAGACTATATATTAGTGTGACATGCTTCCTTATAATATTGTACTGAGGGGGTACTGTGAGAGTGAGAGGACACGCAGCCACCAGTGGCTCCTGGCACCTGTCCTCACCCGTGTCTGGCACCGGTGACATCAGCACCTGGCACCAACAGTGACCTACGTACCTAACACCAACAGTGACCCCCACTCACCAACAGTGACCCACCCCCGTAAGCACAATTAGGTGAGCACACACACCTAACACCAACAGTGACACCCCCCACACCAGTAGTGACCCCACACACCAACAGTGACCCCCCACACCAGTAGTGACCCCACACACCTGGCACCAGACACTGGAGACGTGACGACTAAGGAGCCGCTGGTCAGTGGGCACCATGGGGTAGTGCCCCGGAGGGTAGAGGACCAGACGCACGTACAAGGGTATAGTGATGAGCAGCGCCGGCAGCACCAGCGCGAACACGCACAGCCGCACCACGCGACGCGGACCTCGTAGTAACTCTGCAAGAACATCGGTAATAATAATAATAATAATAATAATAATCACAGATTGATTGATGAAGATTAAGCCACCCAAAATGTGGCACGGGCATGAATAGCCCGTAAGTGGTGGCCTTTTTGAGCCATTACCAATATCTTCCGTCAAAGTAATCATGGAGAAGGGAAGGGCATTTTCAAGGGAAAGCGCCAAGCCATTACGACTATATAGCACTGGGAAGGGGTCAGGATAAGGATTTAGGATGGGACGGGGAGAAAGGAGTGGTGTCCAATCACTTGGATGGTCGGGGATTGAACGCCGATCTGCACGAAGCGAGACCGTTGCTCTGCCGTCTATCTCAAGTGGAGAGAATAATCACACTAACGTGACTGCATCAATGAAAAAATCCATAGGAGCCGTGGCGAGGGTTTGAACCTAGATAGCTTTACCCAACGCAAAACTATTAAAAAATAGCAAAGCAAGTTACTATGTAAATACTAAATAAGTCAATATATATATATATATATATATAATATATATATATATATATATATATATATATATATATATATATATATATATATATATATATATATATAAAAGTTTGTGAGGGTACCACCTCTGGTGCCAATGTGGGGACCCATAGCCTCGGAGAAGAAAATAAAAAGTATTCAGAGGAGACCTTGTGGTTTCTCACTGAACACTAATATTATCTTCTCCTACCACCCCCATTCTTTTGTATGTACACATATATATTTACTTTATTTGAACTTTGTTACAAAAAAGGAGTTACATATGGGTTACAAAGATGGTTGTCATAGGTTGTCGAGTTCCTCCAGCTCCTCAGATGGCGGGCAGGAACCCTGGATGCAGTGCGCATTTCCCCTCTGTATCGCCACACTGAGGCGCTGGAAAAGAAAGCTTGCAGCTCTCGGGTCCCTTGTTGTTTCAATGAGCCTAGAACCCAGTTCCTTCAAAAAACTGGTAGCACTTTTACCCCAGGCGCCGAGCGTCTCAGAAGCAATGGGGACAAAATTGTAGTGGTGATCCAGTTCTCTATACTTACGGGATTTGGCTGCTTCCCTGTGGGTGGCAGCGCCACCTGGTTGTGCAACACTGAGGTTAATGTAGGTGTTAGCCAGGGTTGATACGCACGTGTAGTCCCATACCAACTGCTTGCCATTCTTCCAGGGGTTCACTGTGATACCATCCGGGCGACCAATAAGAGCATCAGAGTTACGGGGCGTTAGGTAACGGGGCTCTCTTTCAGCTGGGCATCCAGCTGTGGTGAGGCTCCTCTTGATGATGTCGTTAACTTCACTGTGCCTCGAGTGCCATCCCCCTGTGCTTTGGCAGAGTAGGCCATGGTGACCATACCTGTCAGCCACCACCTCGCCGCAAATACACCTATATCTGGTGTGGATTGGGGCAGCAAGGCGGAGGGCCACAGCAATTCGGAGGGCGTGTGGTGTGAGACGCGTGCCAGTTGCCGACATTGGGGTTGCTAACAGGAAATCCCCTGCATGTGGTGCTGCTACTGCTGTGAGGCGAGCAATGTCGTGTTGTGTTGTTGCAGCACCCAGGCACTCTGCAGCAACTTGGTCTACAATGGGACCATCCCAGCTGGATAGCTGGATATATATATATATATATATATATGTATGTCGTACCTAGTAGCCAGAACGGACTTCTCGGCCTGCTGTGCAAGGCCCGATTTGCCTAATAAGCCAAGTTTTCCTGAATTTATATATTTTTCTAAAAAAAATCTTATGCAATGATAAAGCTATCTATTTCACTATGCATGAGTTCATTTTTTTAATTTGAGTCAAAACTAACGTAGATATATGACCGAACCTAACCTACCCTACCTAACCTAACCTAGTATAACCTAACCTAAACTAACATAACTATGTCAATGATTTATGTTCTTAATATAATATAATAATAATAATTTAAATAAACCAATTGGAAACAATTGGTAGAAAATCAAGTAAATCACTCGGCCTATTAGGCAAATCGGGTCTTGCATAGTAGGTCGAGAAGTGCATTCTGGCTACTAGGTACGACACATACATACATATATATATATATATATATATATATATATATATATATATATATATATATATATATATATATATATATATATATATATATATATATATATATATATATATATATATATATATATATATATATATATATATATATATATATATGTGTGTGTGTGTGTGTGTGTGTGTGTATTAGTTACATCGTTGCTCCCCATCGCTCGGACGTCACCTATTTACATCCTATTTTCTTACAAAACGAATTATTTCCCAAGTCATTCTGGTTTAACGATTTCTCCTTATAATTACTAATGATTATTAATGAGTAGGCAAAGAGCACGAAGTGATTAAAATATGCACCAACTTGCAGCATGACACAGTTATCCTGTTTAAACCATTTGCTCAACATTGTGTCAATATATTATAATATTATGTGATCTTTATGAACATTTGACCAGTGGACAGACATCAGTCTGTGCAATAATCTGGAAGGTTGCAATGTTACTCTTAAAAACTGCACGCTATTGCTGGATTATTGCCACAGAGAGATGGCTGGACCTGTGGGAATCGCCATGATGTGCGGTTGTGTCGCTTTGGGGGGTAGAAATAGCCTAAGCTTCTCTATCCTTTTGGGATGTATTTCTTTCTTTCTTGTCTCAATAAACATACTTCAACTTGTTGTGTCGGTTTCGCTTTGATGTCCAAAGGATTTGGAAAAGATGGGGGAGGTAGAGGGATGGGGAGGTGAAATTCTGGAAGAGGATGCGGGTGGAGAGAGAGAGAGAGAGAGAGAGAGAGAGAGAGAGAGAGAGAGAGAGAGAGAGAGAGAGAGAGAGAGAGAGAGAGAGAGAGAGAGAGAACTCTCTCTCACACAACTACAATAGTAATAGACAACTATTACACACAACTCACAACTCTCAGTTGTGAGTTGTGTGTAAACTGTTTTTCAATCATAAACAGGGGGTTTGGCGGGTGCATGGAATCACTTTTGGGTCTTTGGAGGACGGGCTGGTATAACAGCCCGTCCTCTAAACAAAGGCCCTAAGGCCATTCCATGCACCCGCCAAACCCCCTGTTTATGAATGAAAAACAGTTTACACACGACTCACAACTGATTTCGTTTGAACACTTTCGGAACAAGTGCTTCACTGATGAATTTTGTTCGAATCACAACGCCGTAAATGCTTCACCCGCGTACTACAAATATAAATAATCGCCAACAGAACCTAAACACCTAACCTAACCAACGCCAAACTATACATAGAATTTATATGTATAATAATATTAATTTACACATGAGAACAAACCAATTTTTAATATACAGTATGTTAAAATTAATGAATGCGTCTGGGGAGGACGGCCGCTGCTTCAAACAGCCTAATGTGAGGCCGGGTTGTCTGGGGAGGACGGCCGCCGCTTTAACCAGGCTATTGTGAGAACGGGTTGAGTAGTTACATGTACTTTTCACCAGCGTGTCTTGCACCGACCCAGCAGGCGGCGGCGGCGAGGTTAGTCCAGTGCTCACACTTCCTGCAGTATGTTAACTCCGCCAAGATCTCTGATATTGTACAAATTTGAATTCAGAATTTAGACATTTCTTGAACATTGGTAATAAAATTATATCTAAATTCATAAATTTGTTCACATTTAATTACACAAGTAGATGTAGAATGTGGAAATAGTTTTCCTGACAGTTTACATTTGACTGTTTACTTCAACAGATGGTGTAAACTCTGTTAAAATCGAGCTTTTACATAATTAGCTACAATATGTTGTTCTTGTGTGGTAGTGTGATCATAATTGCAGTAACTAGTGTAAATTTCACTTTGCTTCAGATCTACGAAGCTTTAATAATTCGTTGTGTCGGGGGACAGGCAGCTTGAGTGTATATATGCATGTTAGGCTTATATCGAGGTCCTCCGTGGTCGAATTACTGACATCCCCAGGATGCAACCCCATAGCAAGCTGACTAACTAATGGGTACTTGCTGCTTGGTGAACAGTTGCATTAGGTGATAGGACATGCGCTCAACTATTTCTGTCCCGCTCGGGATTCGACCCGGAATTCTCGATTGTGAATCGAGAACGAAGCCCACTGTGCTACTAAGACCATTCTGTACATGTATGTACAGAATGTTGTGTATGTAACATTAACAATTGTATAACTAGCGTCAAAAGATTGTCACTTGCTGAGCTAAACGAACTCTGGGGTTCAGTTCCTGAACCCATTATGTGCCTCTGTAACCCTTTCCTCCACCCCCCATGGGATGGGTATAGGGTGCATAATAAAGAAAAATTGAATTAGTGAAGTGCTGTTCCCAGGCTGCTTTTTATTTGTTATATTTTTATTAACACATTTAGGTACATCTGCATTTGTGCAGCTGCCCTAGACTATATGAAGGGGAGTAGTGTGTCAAAAAGTTAGCTACGTGATGCTAAAATCCCCATCACACAGGATGGTTGACTTGGCATGTGATCAGTAGTCTGCACTGGCAGACTCTGGGTGCACTATGAGGCTATCGGACTCCTGGTTCACCCTTGACGACGAGCGGACGTCTGGACACCTCCGACTGGGAGCCGCCGGATCACATTTATTTTCGTGATTTGGATTTGCTACTGCCATTTGGCATCCCTATTCCACGGTCCGGTTGCACGACGCCTGGCACACATACCGCCTTGGGTCACGGGATTGTTGGTAGATTTTTTTTGCCGTGTTCTGGTTGGTTCTCCCTGCGGGGTGACGGTGTCCAGTGCCGGCTTGGCCAGGAGGTGCCGGGGGTTGGTGGGCTCCTGGTGTGCCCTCAGCCGTTCGGTGCGGCTGGCTTCTGCTCTGCCGGTGACCACTGGATGACTTTTGCGTTTTAGTTGAGGGTCGAGATTTTTGTTTTGCTACCCGGTGTTCTCTGTGTGGGGCGGGGCCGGTGCTCGTCACCCTGCGGGACTCCTGGGACTCCCCAATCATCTGCCTGTCTG